TATTTCTCTGAAGAGTCTTGCTTAGTTTTAGTAAAAATGGTATTCAGAGATTCCAACCTGGCTGGCCAGAATGCTTACTACATGGATCATTATCCAACTTTTTCCAGTCTAATTGTAGGATTGTAGTGATTTTACCCAACTTCCTTAGTTTTATATTATTTATAAGCTCTTTCTCTTATGATCAATACCTTGGTTCCTGATAACTAACTTTTTTTGGCCAGATGTAGTGTATACCTCTAATCCCAGCACTCAGGATGCTGAGGCTGGAAGAACCCTTCGAGTTTGAAGGGTCTAGCCTGTGCTACACAGGGAGTTCAAGGCCAGCCTGAACTACCTGCAAGACTGTTTAAAAAGCTTTTTGCATTATTTTACTATTTGCATAATAGTTTCAAGGTAAAAAAAAAATAAAGATTTTTACTAATAAAATAACTAATAAAAGCGACTTCTGGTGCCTGCCTCGCAAGTGCAAAGACCTGAATTTGATTCCTGGGACCAAAAAATTTTTTTTAAAAAGCAACTTAACATTACTTTGCAGCTGATTTTTTTCCCTTAGAGTATATATATTTTATATATTTTTGGCGGGGTACTGGGTATCGAACTCAGGACCTTGTGCTTGAGAGGCAGGCAGCAAAACCACTAAGCTAAATCCCCAGCCCCTAGAGTAAATTTTATTAAGATATACAATTAAACTACTGTATTTTATTCTTATTTATATATTTATTTTTGGTGCTGTTATTATTATTATTACGGGCATAACTGGGGATTGAACCCACAGCCTAACAAATGTTAGGCAAGGTTTACCAGTTAACTATACCCCAACCCCAAATTACTGTAAAGTCACTTGAAATAAAAATTGACCAATTATTACAGGTATATGCCACCATGCCCAAAGTGTTCTTGATTTTTTTTTTGTTTTTAAGACAGGATCCCACTTTGTAGTACAGGCTGGCTTTGAATTCACTATGTAGCCCAGGCTGACCTGGAACACATGATCTTCCTGCCTCAGCCTCCTGAGCACTGGGATCCATATTGTGATTTCCATCACCATCAATACTTTTACTTTTTCTACAATCTTATATAAATAGAATTATACAGTGAGTCATATATGACCAATGTCTTTGGCTCAACGTAATGTTTTGCATGTTGGTACACATAGCAGTGGTTCCTTTCTTTTTTAAAATATATACCAGGGATCAAACTTGGGTCCTTGTGCTTGCAAGGCAGGCAGCAGAACCATTGAACTAAGTCCCTGGCCCTGGTTCATTTCTTTTATTGCTCAGCAGTATTCTGTTGTATACCTGTATCACAATTTGTTCTATTAATTTTCCTGTCATTGTATATTTGGGTCACTTTGAGCTGTTATAAATATAGCTGTTACAGATGTTCACGAACGATTCTCTTTATGAACATATTTTCATTTATCTTGGGTAGATAACTAGGAGTGAAACTGCTGCATCAGAGTATGGGTGCTTATTTCACTCTGTAACAAAATACTAGTTTTCTCTTTTGTCTTGTTTATTTGAGACAGGGCCTCACTATGTAATTCAGGCTGGCCTTAAACTCACTAGTGGCCCAAGCTGGTCTCCAACTTGCAGCCATCTGAGAGGCTGAGGCAAGAGGATGGCTGCAAGTTGGAGACCAACTTGGGCTACATAGTGACAAGGTAGTGAGACTCTGTCTCAAAATAAAAAATAAAAATGGCTGGGAGTATAACTCAGTGCAAAGGCCCTGGGTTCAATAAACAGTACCACAAGGAAATAAATAATAAGGCCATATAATTTTATACTAACAACATGAAAGTTTCAAGCACTCCATGTTCTCTCTAATTCAGTATGATCGATGTGAAGTGATGTCTCATTAGGTTGTTTTTTGGTTTTTTTTCCTCATTATGTTGTTTTAGTTAACTTTATATATTGTGAGGGCTGGGGATTTAGCTCAGTCAGCAGGGCCGCACCTGCCTGGCAAGCACAAGGTCCTGAGTTTGATCCCCAGTACAAAAAAAAAAAACAAAAAAACAAAAAAAAAACCCTCTATATATTGATTATGTGTAATAACATGTCTGTTTTTAACTATAGAGTTTTGCCAGGTGCGGTGGCGCAAGCCTGTAATCCCAGCACTTGGAAGGCTGAGGCAGGAGGATCGCTGTGAGTTCGAGACCAGCCTGGGCTACATAGTGAGTCTGGACTACATGGTGAGACCCTGTCTCAAAAAAACAACAAAAAAAAGATTAACCATAGAGTTTTATGAGTTCAACAAATGTACATTTACACATACACACACAGACACACACACACACATACACACACACATATGTATGCATGTATATGTGTAGCCTCTACCCCAGTCAAACAAAGAAAATATTTTTCATTATCTCAAAATTTTCCCTGTACCCCTTCACAACCAATTCTCCAGCCCCGGAAAACCATTATTATTTATTAACCATTATTTGCTATCGCTGTAGTTCAGTTTTGCCTACTTTCAAATTTCAGATAAACTTCCTCACGCAATGTGTTCTTGTGGCACCATAAACACGCACCACTGAGGCCATTCTTGTAGAGCACAACTGCCTGGCACCCCCACCTGCCAGCCCGCTGGGTCCACCAGCACCACAGCCATGCGCCACACAGAGCCCAGCACCATCCAAGCACAGCTGGCCACTGAGGCAGGCCTGCCGGTGTGAGACTCCAGATTCCCTCCTAAGGCACCTTGAGCCTGTGGAATTTTTGTCGGCCTGGCCTGGATCCATGCTATAGGACAAGGCTTTACCTTTCCAGAGTTTCTTCCTTCCCTCCATTCTCCACCAGCCATTGCACATGTATTTCATCTCAGTCTGAAGGCTTTCCCTCACTCCTCTTGATACCTTACTGTGCTGGTTTAAAACACACCCTCAAATTCTTTGGCATGCCTTTCAAAAGTGGAGTTAATTTCCCTCTTTTTTGGTGTAGGCTGGACTTAGTGGCTCGCTTGTAATAAATAGAATAAGGCAGCAGAAATGGTGTCTGACTCCCAAAACTGCATCACCCAGAGGCTCTGTAGCTCCGCTCTTGCTCTTTCTTGGATCCCCTGCTATGGGAAAATCCAGCTACCATGTTCCAAAGAGAACCTCTGGAAATGCAGGCTGAGCTGTGAGGCCTCAAGGAAGCAGATCCTGGCCACCATCAGGCCTTCAGATTTTGCACCCCAAATGGGATCTCGTCCACAGCCTCACAAGAAACTCACAGCCAAAGCTCCCCACATTGCTCCTAGATTTCAGATCCTTAGATACTACCCGGGACAATAAATACTCATTACTTCAATTGTTGTATTTGAGGGAGATTTGTTTCATAGCAACATATAACTACTGTATTTTCCAGAAAATAAGACCAGGTCTTATATTAATTTTGCTCCAGAAGATGTAATAGAGGCTGGGCACCCAGCACTCAGGAGGTAGAGGCAGGAGGATTGTCGTGAGTTCAGGGCCAGCCTGAATTATAAAGTAAGACCCTGTCTCAAAAAACAAAACAAAACAAAACAAAACAATCAAACACAAAGATGTAATAGAGCTTATTTTCAAGGAATATATTATTTTTTCCATGCACAACAGCCTACATTTAGTCACCTACAGTGACGTCATCTTCTAGAACATCATCACAACTCTCCAAACCCAAATCAGCCCGAATTTCTTGTGACTCCTTTTCCCGTAGAACTACTGGTTCCACTTTCTCATGTTCAGCAACTCAGCCCTCCTCAAACGAGCACTTCCTGTCCATGTAGCCTGCTCCTAGTGCAGTGATAACACAGCTGTCAGTGATTTTATCCCATGAACTCTGCGTCCAAGTTACAACCTCCTGCAGGCTTCACAGAGTTTCCATTAAATCAAGTGGTACCGTAAATTGAAGACATAGGAGATAAAGGTGGCAACAAAAATATTGACAGTTAAGAATGATGGGCGTTGTGGTGCACACCTGTAATCCCAGCTCTTGGGAGGCTGAGGCAGGAGGATCACTACAAGTTCAAGGCCAGCCTGGGCTACATAGTGAGACCTTGTCTCAAAATAATAATAACAATAATAAATAAATGAATAAAGATGGTCCCCACAAAATGACAAAAAAATTAAAG